CCAAGAAATAAAGCCTCGCTTGTATGGGCAATTAATTTACAACAAAGGAGCAAAGAATATACAATGGAGAAAGGATTATTTCTTCAATAAATAATGGTGTTGGGGCACGCCTGGGTGGCTCAGTTGGTGAAGCGACTACCTTTAGGCTCGGGTCATGATCCCGGAGTCCCAGGATCGAGTCCTGCATGGGGCTCCCAGCTCCGCGGGGAGTCTGCTTCTCCCTCCGACCTTCTCCCCTCTTGTGCTCTCTCTCCCTCTCAAATAAACAAATAAAATCTTTAAAAACCAGACAGAGACATGCAAAAGGAAGAAACTGGATCACAGTCTTCCACCAGACATGAAAATAAACTCAGTGAATTAAAGACTTGAACATAAGACCTGAAACTATAACACTCCTAGAAGAAAACATAGACATTAAGCTCCTTGACACCAGTCTTGGTGATGAGTTTCTGGGTCTGACATCAAAGCAAAGACAGCAAAACAAAAAATAAACAATCAGGACTACATCAAACTAAAATCTTTTGCATTAACAAAAGAAACCATTAACAAAATGAGAAGGCAATCTACTGAGTGGGAGAAGATATTTGCAAATGGTATATTCTATAAGGGGTTGATATCCAAAATAGATGAAGAATTTGTACAACTTGGAGCACCTGGCTGACTCAGTTAGTGGAGGAGACAACTCTTGATACCAGGGTCATGGGTTCAAGACCCACTTTGGATGGGGAGCCTACTTAAAAAGAAAAAAAAAAACTTCTGCCACTCAACACAAAAAAATAATCTGATTTAAAAATGGGCAGAGGACCTAAATAGATATTTTTCCAAACAAGATTTACGGATGGCCAACAGATGTGTCAAAAGATGCCCAACGTCACCAATCATCAGGGAAATTCAATTCGAAACCACAATGAGATACCATCTCACACCAATTAGAATGGCCAGTATCAAAGGACAAGAAGCAATAATTGTATGCAAGGAAATGGAGAAAAGGAAAGCCTATGCATTGTTGGTGGAATGTGAACTCTTGCTGCCTCTATAAAAATCAGTAGGGAGTTTCTTCCAAAAACTAAATATAGAAGTACCATGTGATTCTGTAATTCCATTTCTGGGTACTCACCCAAGGAAAACAAAAACACTAATCGGGAAAGATATAGGCATCCTTATGTTCATTGCCACATTATCTACAATAGCCAAGATATGGAAGCCACCTAAGTGTTCATTGATAGATGAGTGGATAATGATGTGGTATATATACTTAATGGAACATTACTGAGCCATAAAAAAGAAAGAAATCTTGCCATTTGCACAACATGAATGGACCTGGAGGGTATAAGGCTAAGTGAAATAAGTCAGATAGAGAAAGGCAAATACTATACGAATTCACTTACATGTACAATCTAAAAAAACGAAATCAACCAACCCACCAATGAAACCAGAAACAGAGGGGCGCCTGGGTGGCTCAGTGGATTAAAGCCTCTGCTCAGGTCATAATCCCAGGGTCCCGGGATCGAGCCCCACATCAGGCTCTCTGCTAAGCAGGGAGCCTGCTTCTCTCTCTCTCTCTGCCTGCCTCTCTGCCTACTTGTGATCTCTGTCTGTCAAATAAATAAATACAATCTTTAAAAATAAATAAATAAATACGATGGAATAATGAAACACTAATCACTGTACATAGCTTTACCCATTTCTTGCTTATTATTACAGAGAAACTAAAGATATTTGGATCAATTGGTAAATATGTCTCATGTCACATTGAAACTTATACTATGAGAAATATATGTCTCTAGATATTATGAAACGTATTCATAAAATTGTCAACCTAAAAAATACTGGTGTAGGGGCCCCTGGGCGGCTCAGTCATTAAGTGTCTGCCTTTAGCTTGGGTTGTGATCCCAAGGTCCTGGGAATGAGCTCTGCATCAGGCTCCCCACTCAGCAGGGAGTCTGCTTCTCCCTCTGTCCCTCCCCCACTCATGCTTACACGCTCTCTCTCAAATAAATAAATAAATTTTTTTTTAGACGTTTTAGCAAAGCAGTCTTATAAGAGCTTATATGGTCAAATGGTATTCTTGCTACACTTATGTAAATAACCAGGCCAAACTGAATGCAAACAAATCCATTTCACTGTGATTATCTGGGAAAAATCATGGGGATAGTTGCAGAGAAAAATTACATCTGTACTTTTGTCGATATTAGATTCTTTTTTTAAAAGATTTTATTTATTTATTGGACAGACAGAGATCACAGAGAGGCAGGCAGAGAGAGAGGGGGAAGCAGGCTCCCCTCTGAGCAGAGAGCCCAATGTGGGGCTCGATCCCAGGACCCTGAGATCATGACCTGAGCCGAAGGCAGAGGTTTAACTCACTGAGCCACCCAGGTGCCCCTTAATATTAGATTCTAATCCCATTGTTGTCTCTGAGGTTTTGTGATGGGCCTGTTAAATTGGACTAGACCCTGAATTCTTTGAGTCTCCCTAAATATCTGGCCACAACTCTCCAAAAAATAACACTTCCAATTTTTTTTTTTAGGCTCCCTGTGGAGCAGAGAGCCCCATGTGGGGCTCGATCCCAGGACCCTGAGACCATGACCTGAGCCGAATGCAGAGGCTTTAACCCACTGAGCCACCCAGGCGCCCCAACACTTCCAATTTTATTCCACCCTTCTGAGTTGGAATCTCGAGGAACAAAGACTGCCCTTGAACCTCCTTGAAAAAGGCTACTCGAGGTCCTCCTCACTGCAGGGACCTGAAGCTTGGGTACAGATCTCACAGCTAGAGAAGACTCACCTGACAGCTGGTCTGATATGAATGAAGGCTGGAGAGCCTCTGCATTGAATGACCTGGGAGAGAAGCAACTGACATCAACTTAGGTCGCTTGGGCCTAGGGTGCTTTGAACCTGAAATCCTTTCTTCCCTTGCTTTCCTTGACTCTGGCATTGGCCTGGAAAGATAACACCAACCTCCGAATCTCCCAGGCCATTGCTAAGGGGGATAACTCGGATTGATTGATTGATTGATTGAGGCAAGGGAGAAAGAGAGTGTATGCATATGCTTATGGGGGCAGGAGAGGCAGAGCAAGGGAGAGAGAGAGAAAGTGAGCAAGAGAATCCTCCCAAGCAGGCTCTGTGCTCCACACTCCGTTTGAGGGACTTGATCTCAGATCCTGAGTTCATGACCTGAGCTGAAATCAAGAGTCAAACGCTTAACCGGCAGAGCTACCCAGGTGTCCTAACCTCTGGAATCTGGAACAGTTTTTTTTTATTATTTTGGGCTAGAAGGAAACCTAGCCTAACTGATCCCTGGCCTTTTGATCTATTTAGCTGGTTACCTTTAGGTTTGGGCTCCTGATTTAGGACCATTATATAAACTGGGTTTATTATTATTTTTTTTTTTTAATATTTTACTTACTTATTTTTTGAGCGAGAGAGAGAGTGAGAGCACGAGAAGGGGGAGGGGCAGAGGAAGAGGGAGTAGCAGACTCCCTGCTGGCGTGGACCCTGACGTGGGGCTCCATCCCCGGACCCCAAGATCATGACCTGAGCTGAAGGCAGACGCTCTAATGACTGAGCCACCCAGGCATTCATTACTGGGTTCATTACTCTGCTCCTTGTTTGTTTTTTACTATTATTTTTAAGCCTTGTAACCATTGCCTATCAAACCTTTGTAGAAATGATGAACCCAATGGGTGTTGCTGGCTCAAGGTTCAAGATGACCTCTAGCACTTACAACCTTGATAAGATAGAGACTCTAGATGGGAGATAACCCAAGAGTTCTTTCTCTTTACCCTTCCTTGTTACTGAAACAGGGTCTTAAATGGCTTTCATTTGCTATGCATTTTCCCTTTGACATGCAACATGACAGTTGGGAAAGGTCCTTCCCCGAAGGACAAACCCACTAAATAGGGAAAGTCTGACTCTGGAACAGTGATGATTTCAAGAAAAGATCTTGATCAAAAGGGAGAATGTGAAAACGAATAAAGGAAACCTCATTCATCAAAAATGAAGCAGGGACAGGGACAGAGGGCTGGCTCAGTAGATAAAGTGTGTAACTCTTAATCTCAGGGTCGTGAGTTCAAGCCCCACATTGGGCACAGAGCCTATTTAAATTTTAAAAAATGGAGTGGGAAGCCATGAAGGGGTGACACTCACGCACCACCATTCACATAGACCGGCAGGAAGAAGGGAGATGTCCTCTCTGCCACGCAACCACAGCCAGTAAGAAGCCACGGCCACTTGTAGCTCTCATTTTCCTCTGATGAACTTTTGCTCGAAACAACCTTTTCCAGCTTCCTCCTTTCCTCTGTAGAAAACTGTTTCCCTTTGTTCTCCCAACCTGCCCATGGTTCCCTCTAGTGTGCAGTTTCTCTATTCCAGAATAAATTCAATTGCTGTTCCCTAAGCTTTGTTGTTTACTTTTAAAGTTTGACAGCAGGTAGATAATATATTTCTCAAAGATTTTATTTATTTGTCTATCTTTTTTGGGGGTGCGGGACAGAGGGAGAATGAAACAAAGACTTTCAAACAGATTGTCCACTGAGCCTGGACCCTGGCAGGGGGCTCGATCTCACCACCCTAAGACCATGACCCGAGCCAGTATCAAGAGTCAGACGCTCAAATGACTGAGCCGCCCAGGCGCCCCAATATTTATGTTTATTGATTATTGATTGACACCTAATGAGAAAGCACTACCAAATATGGAGACATTTTATTTACTCAGCACCAAAAGGTCAGGAGGGATTGCACAGAATTTAATTTTCTAAATAACACAAACTTGCCTCTCTAAATAATATGAAAACGTTTGATGGGCATTTTGCCAAAATATATCTCCCTGGCTTTTTTTTGGGTAGGGGGACACAGAAACATAAGGAAGAATTCCACACCAGTGTTGGTGCAGGGAACCAGCCAAAAATATTGACTCCATTTCTCTCCTTTGGAGAAGACTCATGTTTTACTGAATAAGAATGTTTAGGAACAAATCGAATCTTAACGGAAAAAAATTGTTAAAATCTTTATTGTAAACCTCCCCTCCTCCTCAGTCCCACAGAAACTTCTGCTGAAGAAAATCTCCAGGTTCCACCAAGGACAGCAGGGTCAAGAGCAGGGCCCAGGTGCCCTTGGGCTTAAAATCCAACAGTTTCCATCACTGCTGTTTTTTGAGTAAAGAAATGTATCTTTGCACCCATTTTTCCTTTGGCTGGGCACAGACTTTATGGCCTTTTTTGGTAGTGAATCTGTGGAAAGGAGAAGCTGACAGTCAATACAGAGAACTTTTGCTTCCTGTAGAGCTGGGAAGGGTGGGGGTCAGCCCGTTGATTCACTTTCCCTCGCCCTTCTGCAGCTGTTAGAGCCTCCATTCCCTCTTCTGGTCCTCGATTTCCCCTCTGCTCTGTTTCCCACTAGAGCCCACGCTCCCAGGCCCACCTCCCCCAGGAAATAATTTCCAACAGCTTTAGTCCAAAGCATGTAGCCTGGACCATCCCTCTTAATTCTTTTGTTTTAACATAGATGCTTTATGGAGATGTAATTCACACGCCATGCAATTCACTCTTTTAAAGTGTATCAATGATAATTCATTGGTTTTGAGTAGATCCATGCATGACACCACCATTCATTTTATTTTTTTTAAGATTTTATTTATTTATTTGACAGAGAGAGATCACAAGTAGGCAGAGAGGCAGGCAGAGAGAGAGGAAGGGAAGCAGACTCCCTGCTGAGAGAAAGCCGGATGCGGGGGCTCAATCCCAGGACCCTGAGATCATGACCTGAGCCGAAGGCAGAGGCTTTAACTGACTGAGCCACCCAGGCGCCCCCCACCATTCATTTTAGAACATTAGCCTGACCACCCCCCTCCCACCAAAAGTCTTTATTATTTTTGATTCATGGAATCGTAGCACGTCAGGTCTCCAAGCAAAAACATGAGGTCAAAGCCTGTCGTGCCGTTCCATTCTTAATCCCATTATCATGGGTTGTTGGCCACTGCTGTTTATATAGGATTCCTACATTCCTTATGGCACTGTGCACTCATGAAGAGTGAGGGTCCTGCTTGATATCCTGAGTGTCCTCCAGCCCCAGATGTGATGAAAGACTAAGTCGGGGTGTTCTAGCCTAGAGCAGCTCACAGAGCCCAGCAGTATTTACGGGGTAGGGGGAGCTCTAAGGCTGGCCCCATGCCGGGGAGAAGAGCCAAAACGATACAGGACGCCTGGGTTGCTCAGTCATTAAGCATCTGCCTTCAGCTTAGGTCATGATCCCAGGGTCCTGGGATCGAGCCCCACATTGGGCTCCCTGCTCAGCAGGGGGCCTGCTTCTCCTTCTCCCACTCTCCCTGCTTGTGCTCCCTCTCTCGCTGTCTCTCTCTGTCAAATAAATAAATAAAATCTTAAAAAAAAAAGATGGGAAAATGGGGGAGAAACAGGACTTTGTGAACCTTTGAGATTTCTTTGACATCATTGAAAGATGGGGATTTGTGCCTCTTCCCGTCGAAGTAAGGCCAACCTTAGGGACTGGTTGACCAGTAGGTTGTGGCAGAGCTGATGCTGTGTGACCTCATAGGCTACTTCACAGAAGGTTATAGAGCTTATGCCTGGTTCACTGGGACACTTACACTGGAGCTTTGCACCAGCTTGTAAGGAGAGCCCCCAGCTCAGGTAACCACACCTTGTGGAAGCCCAAAGTGGCCGAACAGAGACACCATGCAGAGAGGACCCAAAGAGAGATGCCGTTCCATCTCATCCCCAAAGAGATCTGTCTCTACCCCTACAACAGATGCCATGCCAGACCATCCGGCCAAGCCCTGACAAAAGTCCTGTCCCACGGAGACCGGAAAGTGATCGCTGTTGTATTAACCACTGAGTTTTGGTGTGGTCCCTCACACAGTGACTGATAACTGATGTTGGCCTCTCCCCTTCCCTTTACAAATGAGGAAACTTGACTTGCCGAAGGTCACATAGCTTATAAGTGACAGAGCCACCGCTTTGAGCCCAGCTCAGGGCTCTTTGCAAAGCATTATGAGTTGACATCTCAAAAGCCCCAGAAAGCTTTAAATCGAGACACTAAGGAGAAGCCTCTGAGCCCCGGAGTGTGCCCTTCCACAACTGGGCACTCATGCGTCCCTTTCCTGTTCCTAACTATCTCAGAACAATGACATTCAGGTTTGCCACGGGAGGCCCTTCTCTCTGCTTCTGCACCATGCTCTGCTGTTCAGGAACCCCACACCCTTGGGAGCAGGAACCAGCCCTTCCCTGTGTGTTTGCATTTAAAGATAGCTTCCAGCTGGCAAACGTCCACTATGGGCAGGCACAACACTAAAGACTTTGTCTGTGATATCTCGTTTAGTCCTGCCGGGGCCCTGTGTCCTCTCTCCCACTACTGACGAGCCCCGCATGACTTGGCTCCTGTCTGCTTGTCCATCTGTAGGCGACATGTTCCTCTGACACACCTGCAGCTCTCTGCCCGACACATCCTTGTTCCACTTTGGAACAGCGCCATTCCCACTTATCCTTAGCGGGGAGGATCTCAGTGCACATGCCACGTCCTCTGGGAGACCTTCCCCCCACCAAATTAGGTCCTCGTGTGACTGTGATGGAGGCTCGCAGAATATACCAACCCAAAATATGCCACTTTGGCAGAAGCATTATTTTGAACTAAAGACACTTCGGAAAAACAAACAAACAAACCCAGCAGGTGCTAGAAGGGTGTTCTGACTTCCTCTTTTTCCCCTGAAAGCAGGAAATAGAATTCCCATGTGAAAGATATCCTTCTTGTACCAGGAGGAAAGAAATATCCCTATTGCCAGAGATAAGAAGTCAAAGCCAAGAGAATTCTTTACAAATAGACCTTGTTAAGGTAAGTCTTACTGTCCCGTACAGCCTACCCTATAGATTTTAGTCGTATTTCCACAATCTACTCTCTCTGTTCAAGCTAGCTTAAAAGCACTTAGGTTTTGCCATTCCTTTGGGTTTTCATTTTCCTATGGGGGCTCCCGTGTACATGTAAAAATTTGTGTGCCTTTTTCTTTTTTCTGTTAATCTCTCTTATGTCAATCTCCTTCTCAGGCTCCCCTGGAGCTCCTAAGAGGGCAGAGATAAAGTACTACCTCCCATACAAGACAAATTCCCTCCTGCTTTCTTTCTTCATTACATTATCTATTTCGTGTAAATACCTTTAATAGCCTTTTCTTACGCTAGGATTAAGGTCTATAAGGGCTGTCTGTTCTCTTTTTTATACCCAGCACTTGGTACATTGTTTGCCGCATGGTATGAAAGCTAGGAAACCAAGGCTCCAGGGTCACACTCATTAGTGGCAGAGGCAAAGTGACAACCCAAGTGACCAGAGTCCCATCCTGAGTCTCATCTTGGCGCTGTGTGGGCGGGGGGGGGCTGGTCTGCCCTGCCCAGCACCCAGGCACTAAAGTGGCTGGTGGGGACCCCGAAAGTCCAAATAAGAAATACTCACATCACAGCCTGCTGGGGGCAGCTGTTCCTGGTGAACTGATAGGAATGCACCAACTTCCAGGGAAGGATCTTGCGGCTGTATTTGAAACAGCAGAACTCGGCTATATCACTGCCACCTAAAAAACAGGGAGAGGAAGGAGCTAGGAGGGGGGACCCTTTGCTTCTCTGCACAGCCCGCCCCGGGGAAGGGAGTAGGACATCTCCATACGTGTGGCTACTCCAGAATGGACACTGAGAATGAAGATCAGGAGAAGAAGAAAGCCAACAGGAAAGCTCTTCATGGTGCTGCAAGCCAGGCCCTCCACAGCCTTCTCCCAAATTCCTCCTGACTCCACCTGACCCCCTTTTGTAGGGCTAAGTTGTCCCCTAAGAGATTTCCAGAGAAATTTGTGGTTGAGAACAAAAAGCAGCCTTTTGACCCTATAGTGGAGAAGCAACCTGATACCTTTAGAAGAAAATTAGAAGGAAAAGAAAAGTCATCTGAGGGAAGGGGAGGAGCCAGCACACCATTGGGAGTTTCTGCCCCGGTGTTTTTGTCCGAACCAATGCTTTGTTGTTTGAAAAGCAAAAGTGGAGGAAATGAAATAATGGTTCTCCAGAACTGACTCAAAATACCTTAGAACACAGTGCTTTTCCTGGATTGATTTCTGGCTCTCGACCAAAACTTTCTTTGCCTTTTAAGTACAGGTTATCTCTCTCTCTCTTTTGTAAAGATTTTATTTATTGATTTGAGAGAGAGAGAGAGCACTAGAGGGGGAAGGGTCAGAGGGGGTAGAGTTAGAGGGAGAAGCAGACTCCCTGGTGAGTAGGGGCTCAATCCTGGGACTCTGGGATCATGACCCGAGCCTATGTCAGACACTTAACTGACTGAGCCCCCCTGGCGCCCCAGCATGGCTTATCTCTTGATGACGCATGGACGGTCTCAGGATACTATCGATCGTAGAGCAGCCTGGTCACAACAACAAAGGTTCAAGAACAAGGCTTTGGCAGGTACCTGTCCTATCTTCTCAGTGCCACCCATCCTGCGACCCTTGGTGCCAGAGCTTTTGGGGGCACTTAGAGCTATCTCCTCTGGTTTAGAGGGTCCCAAACCCGGCAGAACATCACAATTGCCTGGGGCCTGAAGAAAAAAGAAAACACCCAAAGATATTCTCTGTTCCTGCTTTGTACCTCCTGGGTCAGGGTCTTTGGGAGAGATACCCAGAAATCTATATTTTAGCCAGATTTGACTAAAATGGGGAAAACGTATTCTAGAGTGGGGCTGTGAATTCCACCAAGTCTCAGGGAGGGGTAGAGTGGGACTTTCAGATCTGTATCTACCACCAACCACCCCCCCCCATCCAATAATGCTCTGTTGGGGCTTTAAAAATTTGAGTTTAAGGCAAAAAAGAAAATCCACTAACCATCTAGAACCACAGAGCTAACTGGGACTCTTTAAAACAACACCACCCCCTCCCCCAGCACCTCAGTCATCCAGACTATTCTGACTGTGGTTCTGAACTCACTGTTGACCTTGTCTCAATTCAAGGCAGTTCTGACTTTGACACAATTCTTTTAGGTTCTTTTTATTTTATTTTTATTTTTATTTTTATTTATTTATTTTTAAAGATTTTATTTATTTGACAGACAGAGATCACAAGTAGGCAGAGAGGCAGGCAGAGAGAGAGGAAGAAGCAGGCTCCCTGCTGAGCAGAGAGCCCGATGCGGGGCTCGATCCCAGGACCCTGGGATCATGACCCGAGTCGAAGGCAGAGGCTTTAACCCACTGAGCCACCCAGGCGCCCCTTAGGTTCTTTTTAAAATTTGGCCGAAATCCGTATTTCCATTGCCTCTGCTCTGTTCAAAAATGCCTACTTTCTCTTCTTTTGGAAGATGAGCAAATTGAGGTTTTGGCAGATTTGAAGACCACTGTTTTCATTTGGGTTCCCCTAAAACAGGTGCTGAGACAAGGATCCCAGCGTAAGCAATTTGTGACGGGGGTAATTCCAGAAGACACCAGTTGGGGAGAGCAGACAGGAGGTGGGAAAGGGAGGGCACTGACATAGGGGTGAGGAGGTCAAGCAAGTTACTGCCTTGGGCAGCTGAAGCTTGGTAGCTCTGAGGGGCTCGGGGACCCATGCAGGACAAACCTGAGTTGGCCCGACTGTGGGGAGAGGAATTGGGTTATTAACCCTCCACCTCTCTTCATGTCTTTGGTTGAGGGCGGGATCCCGCATCTCTGCCTTGTCCTACAACCAGACTGAGTGCTCCGTGATGAGGGTAATAGCCCTCAGGCAGGGCAGGTGTCCTCCATAAGCAGCCTTTGACTCACAGAAGTGAGAGATAAGGGGTTATGAATGGGGCTCCAATGGCACCTGCTACCATTATTATGTTTGTCCTTGAATATCTCTCTTGCAGGTTAAGTCTCCCCACCCATGCCTTCAGCTGGCCCCACACCATCCCTCACCACCTTCACACACCAGTTCCTGCTTCGATAGCTCCCGTGTGCTGGTGATCCAAAGGTTTCATAGACAGAACACAATAGACACTAACCATGAGAGGCTGATAGAGATTTGATCAATTGGACTGTAGTTAGAATTTGGAACTTTTCTTCATTAAAAGGCACCAATAAGAGAGTGAAAAGGTGGGGGGTTGGGTAGATTTTTGCCATATGTCTACTAGGTTGAAGAGTGTCTCCCCCAAATTCATGGTACTTTGGAACTTTGGAACTTTGGAATGCGATCTTATTTGAAAAACAGGGTCTTTGAAGCTATAATTAGTTAAGAGGAGGTCATATTTGGATTGGGATAGGCTCTTGTGGTATTGTGGTTTATAATAAATATATATTTGGTCACAGCTTCTAAAACCTTCGTAAATTTCTTTCTTTCCTTTTTAAATTTATTTTAGAGAGAGAGAGAGAGAGCGGGTAAGGGGCAGAGGGAGAGGGAGAGACTTAAGCAGACTCCCCGCTGAGTGCAGAGACCGAGGCAGGGTTCAGTCCCACAACCCTGTGGTCACCACCTAAGTTGAAACCAAGAGTCAGATGCCACCCAGGTGCCCCAAACCCATGTAATTTTCTAAGCCGGGAGAGCAATGGGAACATCTTTTGTTTCTAATATTTGGTCTTTTGTCCTCAGTTCTTGAAATAGCTCCAGAACAATACAGATGAAAGGAGCATCTTATCACACATAACCAGCCCTTTCCAACCACACTGTGTTGATGTTAAAGCAGTGATTTTTGAAAAGCCCCTAGATAAAACCACTGGGAGGGAACTGGGGTGTGGGGAGGCGGTGGGGAGAGCCAAGTGGTTGAGAGACTAGAACTTTCAGCCTCACTGCCCCTTCTCTGGGGAGGGGAGAGGGGCTGGAGGTTGAATTAATCCCCAGTGTCCAATGACTTCATTAATTATGCCTTCATAATGATGCCTCCCCCCAAATACCCTAAGGGCAGGGTTCGGAGGGCTTCAGGGTTGGTGAACATGTGCAGGTGTTGGGAGGGTGGCGCCCCCCCTCCAACCCCCGAGGGCTCGGAAGCTCAGCACCCTTCCCCATACCTTGCCCTCTACATCTCTTCTGTCAGGCTGTTCCTGGAGAGTATCCTTTTAGAATAAATTGGTAATCTAATCACCAAATCTAGTTTTCCTGAGTTCCATGAGCTGCTCTAGCCAATCATGAATCCCAAGGAGGGGGTTCACGGGAACCTCCAATCCACCACCACGTCAGAAGCGCAGGTGACGACCTGAATTTGCCATTGGCCGCCGGCGTGGGGGAGGGGCAGTCTCGTAGGGCCAAGCCCTCAACCCATGGGCTCTGAGGCTGGTAGGGTCAGGATTGAGCCCAGCTGGTGTCTGATAATTGCCTGGGGTAAAGAAATCCCACATCTGGCCAAAAATGCAACATTGAGAGGGAAGTATTGTAGGGAGTAGAGGTAAAGCAGAAGACTTATTTCCCTTTCAGCTCTAAACCCAGTGACTGCTGTCCCTATAAGAAGGTCACGTGAGGAGACACAGAGACACTCTGGGAGGGAGACTTCCACGTGAGGACAGAGGCAGAGACCAGTGTGATACCCACGCAAGTCAGGAGCGCCCAGGAGTGCTGGGAGCCACCACGTGCTAGGAAGAGGCGAGGAAGGATTCTTCCCTAGAACCTTCGGAGGGAGCCCGGCCCTGCCAACACCTTGATTTCAGACTCCCAGCCTCCAGAGCCATGAGAGGACAGACGTCCGTTGTTTTACGCCACCCAGTTTGGGGTAATTTGTTACGGAGGCTCTAAGGCACTAGTGCAACATATTTCTATAAAAGGACTGGAATTCAGAATATTTTTTAAAAACCTATAAATCCAAAAAAAGATGACATAATAGAGAAGTGGCTGAAACTTGAACACTTTCTGAAGGAGGAATGAATGAAACGATGATGAAATCAATGATGAATGAAAGAGGCCTCATTCTATTAGTCCTCAGAGAAATGCAGATTTAAACCACAATACAAATCTGCTCATGCCCCAGGAAATGGCTCACAGGAAACAGATGGAAAATATCAAGAGCCAGTGAGGACATGGCCCCTGGAAACATACCATGGTGGGAGTAGCAAAAAATGGGCGGTATTTACTAATATTGAATGTACCTGTTCTCTATAACCCGGCAATTCTACTCCTAGGATTTGAAGCGTACTGATCGGAAAAGGGTACATGTGGGGCTCAGTTGGTTAAGCAACTGCCTTCGGCTCAGGTCATGATCCCAGAGTCCTGGGATCAAGTGCCGCACTGGGCTCCCAGCTCCATGGGGAGTCTGCTTCTCCCTCTGACCTTCTCCCCTTTCATGCTCTCTCCCTCTCAAATAAATAAAATCTTAAAAAAAAAAAAAAAAGAGATGAGCACATGTGTTTGCCCAAAGACATTGTTCCTCATAATCCCAAACTGGAAGTTACGCAAGTATCTGTCAACGGTGCAGTGGAAAATCAATTGTGGTTTGTTAACACCGTCCACTGAATAATAATGAGAATGGACTATGGTTACATGGCTTATGCTGAGGAAGAGAAGCCAGATGTGAAAGACAAATGTGCTCGGATCCCATGGGCGTAGAGTACCAACGAATCAGACCTAACCCTAATGATGGCGGTCAGAAGGGTGGTTACCTTTAGGAAATAGCCAGTGGTAAGGGAGGCCCGAGGGGAGTTCTGAGGGAGACTGATACTCTCTGGGTACTGGTGCACCTTTCATCCCGTGACAATTGGTTGAGCTGTCCCTGTATGGATTTACGTACTTTTCTGTATTTCAATACATTTGTGAAGGAGAAGAAAGCAATATGGCAGATGAATTAGTGAATCCTGACCCCTGCTCTATTCCCCGCCAGCCTCTTCTCTAAGGTTGAAGCCCGCGCCGCCCCCCCCCCCCCCCCCCCCCCCACCCTCCAGCCTGCTGGCTGGGCTCCCACCGCGGGTGTATGGATCTCTCAGAACCCTCAAT